TTTCCTTAAAAAATTTCTAGAGAATAGGGAGAAGAGTCATCAGTCAACAGTTACCCCTTTAGTCTTCTTGGCATGCTGCCAGCTTGACATTATAGTTATTCTCAAGGTGGGAATGGGATACCCAGACAAGCTATTTATATAAAGATGCTCACTCACCATCATTACACCCTGGGGCTATGTCCATGGCTTCCCCCACTCTCTAGAGGTATGCTGGTGGCTCCCCGCACTTTCTGGGGGTACACCTCTGGCTGTTGCTGATGTCATTTTTGGAGTTAGTGGGTTTGGAGTGTGGAGTCTTCAGTTCACCCTGAGAAAGTTTTCATCAGAGCTCCCCTTTCAACAGCACGTGGAGAGTTTCCTAGGTGAGTTTCTCCACGAGAAAGAGCTGTTTATTTAAAGAGAAGGTTTATTTGGGGAAGAGGACAGAGGAGTAAAAGACATTTTCATAGGCACAAGCGGGCAGAAAGAGCTGCCCCAAAAGGGACAGCTTTGCTGAGATACGCCTGCATGGTTGCTTACAAGTTTTGCCTTTTTCTTGACCCTTTGTTCAAGTTCCCTAGATTCAGTTTTTCACCATTAAGAATGATGTCAGGTGCTTAGTGAGATAAGCCAGAAAGAGAAAGAAAAATACCAGATGGTTTCACTCATAGCAGGACTATAATGGACCAGGCGAAAAAATAACAAAAATAATGAACAACCATATACCAGAGACATTTTGCGGGGGTGGAGTGGGGAATGGGATCAAAAACGGGGGGGTGGGGAGGGAAGGGCACAGGATTTTGGTGATGGCACACGGGTGACATGGTGATGGGAAATCCGCGGGGATTACAATTGAGATGGAAAAAAAATGTACAAAATGATGTAAAAATAAACTGTTATAAAATTAAAAAAAAAAAAGAATGATGTTAGGGCCCTTCCTGGGGGTGCAACAGGTTAAGGCACACACTATGGAGCTGTCCACAGTGCAACACGAGTTGGATCCCCAGCCAGGGAGGTGACCAACATGGCGCGGCAGATCTCTCCCATCCTGCTTGCTGCTCCCCTCAGCAGTGTATTTCAGTAGATCTGCCTGTTCTGCTCCCCATTCTGTCTCTGGTGAATCCTCTCACCACCCTGCCCCCCAGCACTGGCACCTCTGGCCTACACCTCTGTTCTTGTATGCATAAATAAATCTTATTGGAAATTATTTTTTAAAGGAATGACATCAGCTGTGGGTTTGAACACTAGATAACTCCTAAGGATCATTATTGGAAACTTCCAAAGTCACAATCATGATTTTTAAAAAAAGGGGGGGGGGAGTACTTTTGAGTTCAAATTCTAAATCTTGTTTACCAATTTCTTAAAATAAAAAGTTAAAGTGTAAAGCAAGAGAAAATATTTGGAGTTTTGCATAGACTAGAGAGAACTGGAGCAAGTTCTCCTGGTTTTGCATAAAAAAGCTCAAAGATCATCCACAAGCCACAGTTGTTGTTGTTTTCTTCAATAGTTAAAGTTCAATAGTTAAAAATGCACTTTGGAAAAATTAAGTTTTATCCATTAATCTCCAAATTGTTCTAGATACAAAATAAAATACTCATCAGACTAAGTGGAAGATTTTTATTTATTCTTAATTTGCACTGCCATTGAAAGAGTAACCTCTCAGTGGTGCCTGGTCTTTATGAGGTTACCTATTTGGTTTAATAGTCACTGACCATCTTACTGGATGCAGGTGAAACCATGTCATCTCAAATGTGTTAGAATTTGATGAATTTTAATTTGATGAAAGTTTGAGCATAAGAAATAAATACATATTTTTTTAAAAAAAAGAATATCAGGCTTCTTCATAAACACCAAAGGATTCAAAGCTGTGAAAAATATGGAGAACTGGGGAAAATGGCAATTAATTTTGCCAATTATATAGCAAACTACAAAGTATATCATACAACTTTGTTGGTATGAGGGATGTTTAGTGAAATTATTTTCAATAGCATTTAAAAATATTTTAATACATAAATTTTATTGGGGGTGATATTGGTGTACAAGTTGTACAGATTTTTGCTTTTTTAACTGTATATATCACAGCACACCCACCACCAAATCTTCAGTCACCATCCAGTAATAATCAATGTACCTCCTTTAACTTGTTCTCTCTCACCCCCTTTGATTATCACCATTCTGTCCTCAAAATCTAAGGTTTCATTTATGTTTTTAGTTTTGCTTGTTTATTTGCTTTGTTTCTTTATATTCCATAAATGAGTAAAATCATTTCAGTATTGGTCTTTTTCCTTTTAATTTATTTCACTTTGAGTGATTGGCTCACGGGCCCGTATTGTCACAATGGCATGATTTCATCCTAATTTCTATAATTGAGTGTATTCCACTGTGTGTATAGGCCATGTATCATTTCGCTAATCATCTGTAGTCAGGCATTTCGGTCATTTACACCTGGGTCATTATAATTAGTGCTGCTGCAGTAAAGATAGCAGTGCACGTTCAGTTTCAAAGTAGTGTTTTCGTATTCTTCAGATAAATACCCTGGAGTGGACTTATTGGGTCACATGGTAGTTCTAGTTTTCATTGTTTGAGTAATCTCCTTACTCTTTCTCCATAGTGGCTGAATAAACTGCTCCAGTTTACATTGCCACCAACAGGGCACCAACTCTCCTTCTCAATGCTTAATGGTTCTTGATTGTTTGGTAAGTCACTCTGGCTGCAGATCGCTGAATATCATTGAGGTTTTGATTTACATTTCCAATGTGTCCAATAATAGTGGTGAGAGTGGATGCCCTTATCTTGCTTATGATGTTAGAGGAAAAAGCTTTGTTTCTGTTTTTGTTCTTTTTACCATTAAATATAATGTTAGATGGCTATAGTTTGTCCTCTGTGGCCTTGTGTAGGTATGCGCCTTCTAAACACATTTTATTGAGAGTGTTTTTCTAAATAGAACCCAACTTTAACCAAATGCCTTGCCTGCATCTATTAAGATTATAACGTATTTTATTCTTCATTTTATTAATTTGATTTATCATGTATCCATGTTGAGCCATCCTTACATCCCTGAATAAACCTGACTTGATCATGATGTCTAATATTTTTAATGTGTTATTTATGAATTCATTTTGCTAATATTGTGTGAGGATTTGGGGCATTTATGTTTATCATAAATAGTGGATAGTAATTTCCTTCTTTCCTTTTTTTTTTTTTGTGATGCCCTTATCTAGTATTGGTATAAGTGGATCCATGACTCATAAGAGTTGTTAGGAAGTGTTTCCTTTTTATTTTATTTTTCCAATAATTTGATAAGTATAGATACAGATATTAGTTCTTTGAATATTTTAAATAATTCACCAGTGACCCCAGTCGCTTAATGATTAAAGCATTGGCCTCCTTAAATAATTCACCAGTGAAAATATCTGATCATGAAAAATTGGTCTTTTTTTTCCCTCAGTGTCTTTACTTGTATCTAGTCAGACTTTCTGTTTGTTAAGATTTCATTCTTGGGAGAGTGTGCAATTCCTATATGTGTATTGGCACACCAAGCTTTCCTTTCAGCTGCATTTGTGCCAAATGTTTTTCTATCCCTTTTTCTATCCCATATCATTTGGTCTTACTTTTATACATCTAGCCACTCTATGTCTTTTGATTGGAGAGTTTAGTCCATTTACATTTAAGGTGATGATATGTTTGTAGTTTTTGCAATTTTACTAGTTGATTTCTTTTTGTTTCCAAGTTCCTCTCTGTTCCTTATAGAATTCCCTTAACTAATTGTTTTATCATTAATGGTCTTCTAATATTTATTCTACTTTATAGGAGATTGGCCCACTACTTCTGATGTGAATATGTAATGCAATATAAGTAACCAATTTGAGTAGTGAAGAATACAATGACCCCCATCTCCTTTGGCCAACTTCTCAGCCAAAACATCTACAACACTCTCATGCCACCCTCAACCTCTAAACTGTATTTGAACAATAGATGTAGCACTGAATAAGGACAATAGCTGAGATCTGTCCTAGTCAGAAATTCTCTTTGCCTTTTTGAGTACTGAGCATTACCCCAGGGCACATGTTCCTGTTGTTAAAATCCAGGTACCTCAAGCTGATTAATGAGAGTGTTTTGTCATCATCTTAGCTTTAGCCCCAGCTGGGAGTAAGGCAGATCTTTTACATACCACAACTACAGACTCAAATAATAGCCTCTTTTGTAAGGAAACACAAGTGATTCAATCTGGCTTTCTCTGCCAAACAAACTCCATCTATTCTTTTAGGAACCACAGGCTGAAGTAAATAATCACACTATACACCGCTCTATTATTTCTTCAGTCACATATCCTCTGTCCTACATACCAATTCTGGGGACCCCTCTCAAGTATAGTTTCATGATTTTAAAGTCCTTAATATGCCCATAAACCCTTGATTTAACAATATCTCCATATAACAGTTGTCCTACTTCATGAGTTGTACTGCCCCAAATGGCTCCATATACAGTTCAATTAATCTTTCCTACCCCTTTCTACTATGCTGTGAGGGGTTTTTTTTTTTCAAAGATTTATTTATTATGCATATAGAACTGGAGTACAGGCCGGAGGTGTGGGGGGTAAGAGGATTCACCAGAGACAGAGTGGGGAGCAGAACAGGCAGATTGACTGAAATACACTGCTGAGGGGAGCAGCGGGCGGGTCACAAGAGGTCTGCCACACCATGTGGGTCATCCTCCTGGCCAGGGATTGAACTTGAGCTGCTGTGCTTTTGGATAGCTTCATACTGCTGTGCTTTCATCCATTGTGGCACCAGAGAGAGCACCCATGTTGTCACTTTGATGTCTACAGTAGTCATTTGTTCATATCTTTGCTTGAGTTTAATTTGGTTGCATATAAAAGGATCAGTTGAGCCCACCATCTTCCCAGACTCCCAGAGGGATGATTTTATGAGACAAAGTATGTTTCCTTTGAGGAATTATTGGGTATAAGACTTGTGTCATCAGTAGGGTCATGCATTTGCACTACTTGCACTGGAGCTATAAATTCCTGTGATCCTCATTTAAGACCCACGTTGCCTTACAAAGGTATATGAGGGTTAAAAAGTACAACCAGTAAAGATATTACCACAAGTGTCAGGTGGCTTCTTATTGCTGCAACTAATAGATTAGACAACCTAAACTATTCAGAGTTGGTGGGTGGCCATTTACAGAGATTTTATGGGTTCTTTTGGTAACAAACCTTAGCATCAATCATTAAAATTTGGATAAGGATTTCCTTTCCTGGAAAGGAAAAATATAATTAGGTCATGTGAGGCCAATACTCCTATGGCAAAAAAAAAAAAAGTGAAAACCAGATAAAGTAAAAAATTATAATTTTAAAAGCCTTGGATCTCTGAAAACAATAACTGAAGTAAACAAAATTCCAAGCAGAAGAGACCTTTTTTTTTTTTTTTTTAAAGATTTATTTATTTGTGCATACAGAACTGGGGTACAGGCCAGAGGCTCAGGGGCGGCGAGAGGCTTCACCAGAGACAGAGTGGGGAGCAGAACAGGCAGATCGACGAAGTACACTGCTGAGGGGAGCAGCGGGCGGGTCAGGAGAGGTCTGCCACGCCATGTGGTCACCTCCGGGGCAGGCGGGAATTGAACTCATGCAGAAGCGGCTTTAGATTCTCAGTGCTGTGCTTTAACCCGCTGCGCCACCAGGGAGGGCCAGAAGAGACCTTTTTAGTTGGTTTTCTTTCTTGGGTACTAATTCAGGGTGTAGTCTGATTTTGAAACTTTAGGGCAGGACACTAAAGCACCAGAGTCAACAACACTGGTATTAAGAATTAAATACTTCTAAACGCACTGGACTATGTTGATGGCACATGGGTGATTTGGTGATGGGAAACCCAAGGGGATCGCAACTGAGATGAAAAAATGCACAAAAATATGTAAAAATAAACTAATGTATATATATAATTAAAGACTTCTGGCCCTCCCTGGTGGCATAACGGGTTAAAGCACAGCACTAAGAAGATAAAGCCACTTAAGCATGAGTTCGAACTCTGCCCCCTGGAGGTGACCACATGGTGCTACAGACCTCTCCTGGCCTGGCCGCTGCTCCCCTCAGCAGTGTACTTCATCATTTGGCCTGTTCTCCTCCCCACTCTGTCTCTGGTGAAGACTCTAACCACTTCTGCACCTCTGGCTTGTACCCCAGCTCTGTATGCACAAATAAATAAATCTTTTTAAAAAAATTAAATACTTCCATTTTAAGAGTTAAGAGATTTCTGCATGTCTGTGAATAAACTTAATGAGCAATTATTTTAGAAACACCTTGTATTTTTACCAAGTGACTTAAAAAACACAAATAGGTATACAGTATTTCTAAATAGTAACAGTCAATAATACCATTGATTTTTAAATTAGTTTTCAAGTATCAAGCAATATTTAATGTAATTCCAACAAAATTCATTTTGGATGTTTATTAATTTATTTTAGAAATTGTCATGCCCTTGACTAAAGAAAAGTATATCAGCAGAATAATATCTCATTATACATGAATCAATTTTAAATACAACTTTTCAGAACATATAATATCTATTTTAGTAAGAAAGAAAGTGATGGATAATTCAACACATGATGGTGCTTCAATTTGGGTTGTTTTTTTTTGGAAAAGCACATTTCACAACAGAAGAATAATATCCTAATTAAATAAAAATATGATTTATGAAAATATTACATAAAATCTAAAAACCTTAAAAGAAAAGTTGATTACTTGATTGTGCAAAAAGTCAATATATTATACACGAACAAAAAAGGGCAGTTTTTAAAAATTAAAAAGACTTCCATTTTGAGAGAGCAAATTGATCGTGTTATGATCTCCCATTTCACTCAAGATCTTTGGAATCACTGAAGAACAATAAAATCTTATTTAATCAAAAATCACATATGACAAATGATAGAAAGATAATTACATTAATATTTATTAGTCACTAATATTTTTCAATAATGATGCAATGATAATCAAGGGTAAAGGTATATATATTCCTCTGAAATTGCTTTCATAATATTTTTTGTCCTAGTTTAGACTTCTATTCTTCATTTATCTCCCAGATGAACTCCAAGGGAAAATCTTTCATCTTCTTTTGGAAAATCTTGTCAAACTTTTCATTCTGCTCCACAGTCATGTGGGTTTTCCAGTCTCCAACAGTGCCTGATAGATCAAGCAAAGAAATTACTTCATGGAGAGGAGTAGGAGTGGAGGAACATAACTTAGTGTTGAAAGAAATATTATTTTTCATACTTTCTTTTAACCCTAAGTTCCCAGTTACTCCACTGCTAAGCTCTGACCCTCACTCTCCAGTTTTATGGCAGCAGATAAACTATTTAATTACAATTATACTAAACTAGTTATAAATTAGTTCATCCTGTCAACTCGTGGCCAGCTGGGAGAAATAGAAATTTATTACAATATAATCAATATTTTGTCCCAGGCTAATGCTGGTTACTGTATTGTAGAGTCTTTAAAAATCCATCAGTCAGGTATCACTGAGCTAATATTTATTGGGAGAATTTGGATGCTCAGAAGACTTTTTAAAAATAACCATAGGTTGGGCTCTCCCTGGTGGCGTAACGGGTTAAAGCACCACATTATAAAGCTCTCTGAAGTCACTGCAGCACCAGTTCTATTCCCAGCCAGGGAGCTGACCCATATGGAGTGGCAGACCTCTCCTAACCTGCCTGCTGCTCCTCTCATTAGTGTATTTCTGTAGATCTGCCTGTTCTGCTCCCCACTCTGTCTCTGGTGAATCCTCTTACCCACCACCACACCCCAGTTCTATAAGCATAAATAAATAAAAAATAACCACTGATCATACATTTTATAATGCAGAGCTGAAATTTCTCTATATTTACCAAGTTAGGATATGAGACAGACTAAAGCAACATTTATAGAGAGTTGTGATGACAAACAGCAGCTTGTAGAAAGAAAGGCAACAAAATAAATAGTTGATTTCAAAATACGCTAATTTGAAAATAAACAACTGAAATGAACAAAAATGCTAAAATACTAAATAAACAAAAGCTTAGTGCAGAAGTGGCAAAACTAATACAAATGGCTTTCAGATAAATAACATCGAAGAGAGCAGTGTTTGTGTCTGCAAAACAAAAATATGACACAGACTTCACTTTCACAGAAATTTTTCTAACTTTTGTTATTAGCCATTTCCATTTCTCATTTTAAGTGTTTCTTAAAGACAGCAGAACATAAGAAATTTCCTTTTTTGAATGAAAAACAAAATGCAGATGTTACCTTTGTGCACAATGGTGTTAGCATCTGGAACACATAGGATGTGTTGGAGCTAAAGGTAAGAATGTGGCCCCTCTCTGGGTTGGCTCAGAGTAAGAAGTGCTTCATGTATTTTAAGAGATAGGGAAAGATATCTAAGAGATGAAGTGAAAGAAAGGCTAACTTAGAGGAATTAAAATCAGTATTTCTTGCCACTTGACATGAGGTCTGGAACTCTACAAGTAAGTGAAAAATCTAAACAATGTTATAGTATATGCTTTCCAGATGCTAATTAGAAAATAATAAGATGGTAATGAAGAATGATTATAGGAAATAATAAAAACAGTTTGACCTGTTCAACTATAACAGTTGTGTGAAGAATTCTCTCTAAAAACTCACTGACCAGAAGCCAGATCAATTAGATATTACTTTAAGTTCTATCATATGAGACTGGTTAAATAAAAAGACATGTAGTTATCCCTCTCAATAATGAAAGAACAGCTGATCTGAGTTCTCAATTTAGTCCTGGAGGAGACTTAAGAGAAATCACAAGAATATAAAATAGAAGGAGCCAAACAGCTCCTTCATTATTACTTCAGCATCAGCTGCTGCAACCATGTTAATTATGTTCACTAAGTGAACATGCATACAGAACTGGGGTACAGACAGTGAGGGGATTCAGCAGAGACAGAGTGGAGCAGCAGAACAGGCAGATCAACGAAGTACACTGCTAAGGGGAGCAGTGGGAGGGTCAGGAGAGGTCTGCTGTGCCATGTGGGCACCTCCAGGGCAGGGATCAAACTCGCACTGAAGTGGCTTTAGCTTCTTAGTGCTGTGCTTTAACCCGCTGTGCCACTAGGCAGGGCCCATGCCTTAATTTTTTTAAGGCCCATGTAGCAGGTCTTTTGACTTTAGGTTTCTCACATCTTCAGGAGCCAATTAGTGTGGGTTCATAAAGAGTACTAAGTAGAAATCATGAAAAATAAACTATGTAGATAGACAGAGAGGTTGTGAAGATGCCATTTTTGGAAACTCTGGGGAAAAAGGCCAAAAGCTAAACTTTGGTACATTTCTTCTATAATCCAAAACAATTCACTATAGAACTTCACCTTTGCGGAGGAAGTGGCCTTCAGTTCTTTTAAACTCAGGTTTGTCATTCAGTATATTTTCATAATTTGCTAGTGGGTCATACTTCATGTTCTGGAATGTGGCCTGTCTCACAACACTGTCCATGACTTCTTCACTCAGTTCTTTCCCCAAAAATTTGCAGATTTTTTTAACAGAAGTTTTGAGATCCTGAGATAAATTAGGACACAGTAAATTACAAATTATAAGAAAGAAGCATAAAAATGTCACAACTAACGATGAAGGGAGTGGAAGACGTAGATGCTTTGGCTGGTTATAAATTCGAAGTTGAAGAGTGAGCAATGACTTTCTTATTCCTTCTTGGTAAATTAATCCTTCATTTGTCTGCTGTTTTAGTACTTTTTTGGTTTATTTTTAAAGTTCTCATAATTCATTTAATCTGTGTTCATTGGCAAATATCTGAGGAGAAGCTGCTCTATGTCAGACACTGCCCTGGAGGGTAGTGGACATGATCAGAGAGATGACAATGAAATCTGTGCTCAGAACTGATTATCAAGACCTACAGGGAGAGGATAACTGTGTAAGAGAACTCAGACTCTCAATGAAAAGACAAATTTATCATGAGACTTAAGGGAAAAATAGGAATTTTCTAGACAAAAGTAGAAATAGTCTAGTAGAAACAGTATACACTATACTTTACTCACATAGAATGGAGAGATGTTGGATCACAGAAAAGCTAGAAGTTGAGCATTTCTAGGGCTAGTGGGAACACATCCAGGATAAGAATGTCTGGAGATATTAGCTGAGGTAATAGAAGGGGCCCTATTGGAAAGAGAGTTGCAAAATCAGCCTCATCTTGAACTTTTTCTTTCTCAGGTGACTCAACAGCAAAGCTTATTATCATGATTCAGAGGCAACTTTTAATTAAAGCTAGTTATAAATATTCAGCATATAGCAGTTACCACGCAGTGCCTACATTTCAGCACTAAGTCTCCTTTCTTGGTGTTCTAAAGCAGTACCTAGTTCCATTCCAGATTTATCCTAGTTGATCTAAGATTCTTGTGGAAATCTCATTCTCAGGACAGGAGATTAGTGAAAGGTGGTCATATAACCCAGTTTTTATCCTTGCAAAGGATGTCAACCATACAAGAGAAAAAGCCCTTTTGTTCCAGTTTCCTAGTTTCTGCTATAGATGTTATCATATGAGGATGTGAGTTTGGATCCATGACAGCCATCTTGAAATTACGAAAGTGGTATCACTGTCACAAAAATATAAAACAAATAAAAGATAAAAAATGTTTTAATTTCAGGTTAACCCTTGAATGGCCATCGCCTACTTCTGGATTTTGGTTAATAAACAACAGAGGCATTTATGTTTTAAACCACTTACATTGACTGTTACTTGGAACAGGATTTTTCTAATAATACACAGATATTTTCATTTACTGTGTCATGAAATGCTTACCACAAGTCAGACAATGTTAAACTTCCGAAGAAATACCTCTCAGTGTGTGAACATAAAATCTAGAAAGTTAGAGAGTGAAAAATGCTGGAAGTGAAGCAAAGTCAATAATGCATAACTGAATGGATATTAATCTGGCTCAAAAATGAAACATACATAGGCCCACATACAAGAAGATAATCCCCTACACACGTGACTTTTTGTAAAGAAATGTCATGGTATTAACTGTAAATGAAAACCTCATTAGCAAAATACATAAGATATAGGAAAAAGGTGTCATAATACACTTAATCATGGATCTCCAATTTCATATTATTCTTAAGTGTTCTACACAAGAACAATCGATACACAAGGTCAGGATGGGTATAGTTTAGGTTAAATCACAAATGTAATCTCATCTTACCTTCTTCATTTCCTCATACATCATGAACTGAATATTAAAGTAATTCTTGTGCTCATACCAGCCTTTGATATGATCAAACCAAAGACTTCCTAACACTGTAGGAAGAATAAATAGGTATTTAGGTAAACATGTTGAAAAAGTTGAAAATTAATTTATAGTCTTATTACATTGTGAAGGAAAATGGTAAGTAACAAAAGAAGGAAAAGGAAGTCTGTTGCTCAACAGGAGATTTTTCCCTGTCACGTGGTTATTGGAAAATTACCCAGCAGCCAATAGAAAACAATGACATAAATACAAGGAGAAACTGATCTCTTATAAGTATATTTATATAAATATACTACACCTTAAAGTGTAGTTATGAAGAAACAGAAATGAAGAACAAACGCAAGGGTAAATCCTCTCCCTGTATACCCCACTATGCAACAGACACACAGCTATTTCTCCTCTATGTACAACTGTGGTGTCCTTGATGAGCCACTTCAGCTGCTATGGTGTACTATAACCTAAGCTTAGTACTCCAGTGTAGAGATCATCTCGACCTCAGCAGACCTTGTTCTTGCACAAGGAACTGCACTAGCTCCTCAGAAAAGAATGTGGAACAGCCTTTGTCCAACAGAAGTTTCTGGGAGGCATCATATACAGCATGCAACACCACCACACCAAATTCACTGTGATCTGAACTGAGTGCCTTTCTCAGTTGAGCTAGAACATAAACCTGAGTCCCTCTCTCAGTTGAACTAGAAGTGCATCACTATTCTCCTCTTCTGTTTAATCTAAATATATCCTAGTCATAGGATTTCAGGATCTAGACAATCTCCTGAGAGTGAGTGAGAGAGAGCAGAATGTGTTTGAATGGCAGTACTTGGTCATCCAAGATAACCCTAACAATTGCCCACTGACCTACCCTTCTACTCCAGTTGAAGAGCTTTTCACTTCTCAAACTCACAAAGCTTCAAAACTCAGGACAGCAAATATTAAAATTTAATTTATAGTTTCAGTTACCTTTTCCTTCTAGAAATAGTGTCATGAATTCCTCAAATGTGCTTGTAGGTTTCAAAGTTGACAACATATTTGAAAAATGAAAATAGGAGCACATAACATCCTTGGGGTTTCTGTATACATAAATAATCTGCAAAGAAAGAAAGAAATTATTGTTTTTCATGTTTACTCCTACGATATGTCCACCTGGATATGAATGCCTGTTATTTAAAACTTTCACACTTCTTAACCATACCATGTACTTAGCCCACTCCTTTGTATTTCAGGTTTCCCCTTTCCTGCAATGCCTGCTAGTGACTATCAATTACTCTTCAAGGAACAACTCAGAAGTTACTGAGTTCCCAGCACACAGAAGTTATTCCTTGTTTCTTCTATTTCATAAGAATAATTAAGCATCTCAAATATATTAGAATAAAAATACATCAATATTTGCCCCAACCCATATTTAAGTGCCTAGTCAGTGTCTGTACAGAGTGTTCAGGTGCACTGGTTAAAATGACAGATACACTCCAAAGAGGAAATGCAGATGGCCAACAAGCATATAAAAAAATGTTTAACATCACTTGTAATAAGGGAGATGCAAATTCAAACCATAATGAGATACCACCTCACCCCAGTGAGAATGGCACATCTTCAAACAACTAGCAACAACAATGTTGGCGAGGATGTGGAGAAAAAGGAACTCTCCTGGTGGGAATGCAAACTAGTAGTTTCCTCAAACTGTTAAACATGGAGCTTCCCTATGACCCAGCAATCCCACTCCTAGGTATCTACCCAAAAGACACAAAAACACTGATTCAAAGAGATACCTGCACCCCCATGTTTATTGCTGCTTTATTTACATTTGGAAAGACATGGAAACAGCCCAAATGCCCAAAAGTATATGACTGGATTTAAAAGATGTGGTACCTACATACAACAGAATATTGCCCAGCAACCAAAAAAAAAAAAAAAGAAAGAAAGAAAGAAAGAAACACATGCCTTTTGCAGCAACACAGATGGAGCTGGAAAAGATCATGCTTAGTGAAATTAGCCAGAAAGAAAAGGAAAAATACCTGATGGTTTCACTTAATAGCAGGAGTATAATGGACCAGGTGAGAAAATAATGATAATGACAAACAGCTATATACCAGAGACATTTTATGGGTGTGGAGTGGGGAATGGGATCAAAAACAGTGGGGGGAAGAAAATGCACTGAACTATGGTGATGGCACATGGGTGATTTGGTAATGGGAAGCCCAAGGGGATTACAACTGAGATGGAAAAATGCAAAAATTATGTAAAAGTAAAATATTATATTATTAAAAAAAAAAAAGACAGATACGATGCCCTAAATGATATGTGTCTTTTCTCATTCATCTTGGTAAACATATACACTCAATGAAGGGAAGCTTTCATCCGCCAGCCACCTCCCTGGGCACGCCTTAGAGTCAAGCCTGAGAATCGAGAGATGATTTGATGGATGCTGTGTGTTTGAGTCTGTCCCTATCCCCAAATGATCTCCACTGCACTGGAAAAAATCTTTCATCCATGGGATCTGACTGATATCAGTAAGTGAGTTTTCTGATTTAAAAGTCATTAGCATCAAGTGATATGTTAAAGGAATGAAATGTTTGTAAAGAGAAAACTAAGATCAAAATTCTTACTGGATGAGGAACAACTTTTAAGTGTTTGGGTTTCCTCTCCACCTCAATCACTGTCATATTGTTGAAAATTGGTAGAAAGTATATTTTGTATTTAACCAGATTTAGTGTTGCCAGTTGATTATAATAGATGAATGGAACAAAGGAATTTAAACAAAAGGGAACAAGGCTAAAGTATGGCATTTATCAGGAGTAAATGAGAAAAATGAGAATCCTTGAAAGTGGCAAAAAGCAGTGAAGTGTAGGGTAAGGGAACTTGAAAAATTTCAATGATGCTGATATATCACTGGAATGAGACCACCAGAACAAAAGGAGGAAGAAAAGAGGCAGCAGTCACATAACGTGATGTTTAAAGTCACAATTCAAGATAAGGCAATTACTAGTGACTCCTTTATTTGTTCATTCAAATCTACTACCTGCCAGCCACTGTTCTAAAAAATTAAATACGGCAGTATGCAAATCTTTACATCTCTTGTGGGTTTTGCTGGTCAAAAAGACAGAAACTAATATTATATCAGAGGGCAAAAGTGTTATAAATAAAGGCAGGTTAATAACAAGTGGGCACAGGAGAAGGTGACAGTGATTGGTAGAGGAAAAGATAACAGGAGAAGACGTCAACAGCGCTGGGCCCTAAAGGAGTCAAGATAGAAACCAAGCGGTAAATTTGAAGGTGGTCAGTCCTACACTTGCACAAAATTTGCCACAATGTTTGTTTGGCTCTGACAGAAGAACATTCACATGAACTTTGAAATAATCCAATGAGTTACAAGACTAGGAATAAAGAAGGGAATGGAACAAGTGCTGAATTTATCAAAGGTGACAGGTGATTAATCCAGAAAGACATAGGACAAAGGGAGAGAGAATCATTCTGCAGAGATGAAGGATTTGTTCTGCAGTTCCTGGAACTTCAAAGGAAATCAATACTTTGGGGAATATGGTGAAAAGAAGTTGGACATCTCAAAGGAAAGCATGGAAGTCATTAGGAGTGAAGAGGTAAAGAATTGCTAGTCTTATAGCAATAATAATAATTGTGTATATGTATATATATGGTTACTTCTAATTTTATATATATTATTACTAATTTAGAGAGTATATAAATTAAAATGCTTAAATACTCTCATTTCAAAATTAGCTATATTACTTATACATTTAGAAAAAAAGTGAAAAATAATTTCCAAATATTATAAAACAAAAATTCAAATGATACTGAAAATTAACATAAAATTACAACAGCTGTTAAGAGTGGATGAGTGGAGGATTAAGACAATGAAATAAAATGAAGTAATTTTGAATTTTAGTTATTTTTCAGCAGTTTTTCTATATCCTACTTTGACTTTTTTGTTCTTCAACCCTCTAGGAACCAAGTAGTAGGGGAGGTGGGAAGAGAATAGACGAGGTGATGGTCTTTCATCAAAATTCATTTTTCGAAAATTGTACTCAAGAAAGGGAGCTCGATCAATTGTTTCCAGATTTTCTGTTCTTTTGCAGTGTTCTTCAAAATAAATCAAGCTTAACAACTGTTGAGACCAGATGGTTCCTATAAAAACAATTGTTTTCAATATTAAGGATTTCTCAAAAATGTACATAGATTTGCCATCAGTTTTTAAATCTTGCAAAGGTTATTATTATACTAGGAATAATGACAGATTTGTCTGGATGGACTTTTTATTTAAAGTGGAGTTTGGAGAGAAGGAAAATACTACTTTTATTTCCCCTATTGGTTATTATATATAGAAAACCTCTACAGCTTCCAACAAATGTCTTCAAATAAACATATTTAGTAAAATAGCAGGATACAAAATCAATGTCAAACATAATAAACTGTGTTTCTATATACTAACAATGAACTAAAAGAAAGAAAATTTAGAGGTCAGCCCCACTTAAAATTACATCAAAGTTAATAAAATATCTAGGAATAAATCAGGCATTAATCCTATGGGATTATCAGTAGTCAAAGAGCAAGACTGGGGTAGGAAGGCAATAATCTGCAACAGGCAGATTCAGGCCCTGAATCAAGATCTTGGGACTGACGTGACAGAAAGAGCCCCACGAAGGCCTTTCCTGTGCAGATTAGTATTTAGCTTTAATTGCACAACCACTTAAGTTTCAGAGACAAACTGGAACAAATAAGGTAAATAGTATTAAGTTAAATTCCTCTTTCTTATGAAGTTAGTCATTAATTTTAATATTATCTCAAGTACTTGCCCTAATGCTGACTATTCTTGCTTCCTTCCCTAGCCCATGTCAGCAATTGAATGTTTGACAGGTTGTTTGTCCATCTAAAAAGTGTCAATATTTTGATCCTTTTACTTGCCAAAATCAGAAATAACTTTACTTGCCAAAATCAGAAAGACCTTATTTCATAAGGTTGTTAAATTTGGTTAACATGATAACATCTAATAGATTAAGAGTATAAAGTCCACTTATGATGCTATTAAAAGTCTAAGTCCCCATATTATACAAAAACATCTATGTATAAGATAACTATTGGAATAGAGAATTTACCAGATTTGGGATACGTAATTATGAAAACATCATCATCTCTGATTTCAAAATCATCCAAATTTTCTAAAAAATCAACATTAAGTGCCTCACGTCCAAAATAAAATCCTTTAAATTTTAATAGAAATGTATCTATATCATCCATAATTCCGTTGCTGCAAAAGACATAAAGGTTTTGTAAGAAATTCAGTAGAAAACTTTTCTGTTTTAATTAGATTTATTTCTTTTCTTGTGTGGTTATTAATTTTTGGACAGTATATATTTGTTGATAATACAAAGGATTAGAATAAGAAAACCAAGTTACACATATTTCATTTAACTATTACACAGAATATAAATTCTACTGTCTTATTCTACTTAAACTAGAACCTAGTATAAGTACTGTTATCCTAAGATTTAACCTTTAAGTTTGTATGTGTTTTAAAAATCTTACCATAAATATCTTGGTACTATATTGTAACTAGGTTTATTGAAAATCAAAGCAAAGTAATTACAGAATATCCTTGACTCATATTTAACAGATATATACTTGTAACAACATAAGATATGTAATACATCTTACATATCTTACTATATATGGAATGTAAAATATGTTAAATATATTTAACTTAATATTTAGAAGATCAGAAACTAAAACTACAGTAATACAGATAAAAATGAAACTACTTACTGTAGAAGTTAGCTGAAATGAAGACTTAATTTCTCATATAAATGTAAGTGGGAGAATAATTGTGTTGCTACTGACAGAAGAAGATACAGACAAACTACATATTCCACAGAGATTTCCTGATTGACCAATTAGCAGTGCTCCCAGAATCAATAATTCACTCAAAAGGATTAGACTGCATGCAAATCTCACAACAGACCAATGAAAAATCTTGATCTATTTACTATAAATACCAGACCAGCTCAACACTACACAGGGCTGAGGGTAGGGTTCAAAATCTCTGCTTTGGGATAACTTCCGAAAATAAGGACATTGTGTACCTGGCTACTTATGCCATAAATCACAAGTACAAAGGAGTAAGCTGCTTCTACTTCAATAACACTGTAATTGAGGTCTTTAAATCTTTCTGTTGTCTTTTGTAAAATAGAATTAAAGACGGGTATACTGTGGAAAACTGAGAAAATTAGAGAGAAAAGTCATATCTACAAGTAGTAGATAGTGCTGCTTTAAAGGAAAAGGAATTCTATAATATGCTTGATACAAATGCTCATTTAAATACAAAACACCACTATTCCCCCTCGGGTGAGCAAATGTTATGGAGGTGTTCTTACCACTCTATCAGAGAGGGAAAGTCAGGTCCTGGGGATGCTTCTTCACCATTCTTTTATGCCACCTTTTTCATGGGCTCCACATTCTGTTCTGTTAGTTTTCTTCTAAATAGAATGGACATGAGAGATAAATATTCAGTTTATTCAAATTCTTTGTATACTTATTTAGATTAGTTGCTGCTTCTTAGATATTGTTAGTGCTTCCTGAATAATAGCCATTCATCCCATATACTGAAACAACCATGACTCTTGCATCTGTTGGTTTTACACTGGACACACAGTCTAATTTGAATCCCTTCCTAATGCTCATCCCTTTGCTCTTATTCTGAGCACTGCACCAGGCAGACAGCTCTAGGGAGACCCCATCCATCTCACATCCTTCCAAGCCAGTGGCCAATGCACCAGACTTTATGGAAAACTGTTTGCCAGGCTGGAAAGGACCAAAACAGCACTCAATGGGTTAAGCAAGTACAGGTTTATTGTTACACACCAGTGAGCACCAGATGTGAGATATTCACTCTGTGATTTCTATTTGATTTGTTCTTAAAATTTCTAGTTCACCCATTCTTCTTCTGAGCTTGATAACCATCTTTGTAACCATTACTTTGAATTCTTCATCAGAAAATTTCACATAGGATACATAACTAGTTCACAATTTGAGTTGCAAGACCTGAAAGCTTGAGAACCAGCAACAGGAAAAACTTCAGAGGCAGGAGGAGGGATTGAAGTCTCTGGATGGTCCTGCCACATAGCCCCTTCTCCTAGGATGCAGCCTTGGGGATGATGGAGACTCGGACTTGCTGTAGATTTACTGTGCTTACTAATCTGTTTTTTCTGGGTTTTTTTCCCCTTCAGTAGGTCTTACTCAAACCTACTGTTGGTGCCTTTGGAGTTCATGTTTTCACATTTCCTACTGTCACATCTGAAAAAAAAAATTTGATCCAAAGAAGACTCAAGTCCCTTTTAGCAAAGAAGTCTTAACCTGTAAGAAAATAAGGGTTTAATGTGACAGAAATTTGACCTTGTAATTCTTCAAACTGCTTTTTTCTCACAGTGCTTTTTAAATCTTTAAACAAAAAAAAAGTCCTTTTATGAAAATAAGATGCTGATGGTTAGAAAATAATAATGGTGAGTCCCTTTCTAAAATGAATAACTTAAGGAAAGTAAATCAAACCTTATGCTGGTTAAACTTTTTAATTTTTGACAGGATTATAAGGATGAAAAGATGATGTGTGGAAACCAGGTTATCATTTTTAGACACAACTTCTGATCTGTTATTTTGTATTGAGGGCATGTTGGTTTACACCATTATATATGATCAAGGGAAGGTTCACTTTTCTTCAAATGTATAAACCTTCAAGATGTGACTGGGTTGAGTTGCCTAATATAGCAGTAAATATAGAAAAGCAGGAGTAAGCTTTCTGATGAAGTATTCAAAGTAGTGGTTACAAAGGTGCTCGCCAAGCTCAGAAGAATGGATGAATTAGAAATTTTAAGAGCCAACCAGAAAGATATCACAGAGCTGAAGAAAACAATGATGGAGTAATATATACTTTACAGTATATGTGTGTGTATATATATATATACTTATGAGACTGGATGAAATACAGGAATAAACAAGTGAGTTGGCAGACAAGTAATATAACTCACCCAGCAAAATGTAAAAAGAACTTAAAGAGTTGAGTATACCATACCCTAAGGGATACCCTAACTAGAGTAATTTTCACATTACAGGGTAGCAAAATGAGCTAAGTTTAAGGGCCAGAAAAAATCCTTGAGAAAACAAACATCAAAAACTTCCCTAATGTGAGGAAAGAAGAAAACATCCAGATACAGAAGCATAGAGAGATCCAAACTAACAGAGCCCAAAGAGGTCACACCAAGATAAACAATTAAAATGATAAGTTTTGAAAAGAGAACCTTAGCAAGGGAAATTCCATAATCCTGTCAGCTGATGTTTGGATATAAACTTTGCAGACTAGAAGAAAGAGGCATGACATACTCAGAGTGTTGAGTAATAAAAAAAAAAAAAAATACAGCCAAAGCTTCTATACCTATCCCTTATCACTAAAGGAAAGATCAAGAGTTTTCTTTACCTTTCTAAGCTAACGGTAAAGAAATTTATCTCCACTAAGCTGGCATTATAAGAAATGATAAAGGGACTTCTCTAAGCTGAAAAGAAAAGGTACTAAGTAAAAACATATAAAATACATGAGTAGGAAAAGTAAATTTACAGTAAAATTAGTGAACCAGTCACCTAAAGTGTAATGATTACAATACAAGAATGTAATTAACTAAAATTATAGTAACACAAAAGAATTGTGTTACATAACATAAAGATGACATCAAATAATCAGACATCAAAAATATAGAACAAATGACAGAGATACAAAACAAAGTGGACTCCATCAAACTAAAAAGCCTCTGCGATGCAAAAGAAATGATTGTTAAAATGAAGGGGAAACCTACTGAATAGAAGACATTTATATTGTTGTAAATAGTGTCAGCTCAAATAACAAAAATTAACAGAGACAAAGACTTGTGAAAAATATCAATTATATCAATATATATTTAAAGGAAAAGCAGAATAAAATTAAAGAAGTTATGACCCAAACTTCCCAAATTTGATAAAAAGCATTAATCCACACATCCATGAAGTTCAATAAATAGCAAGTAGCATAAACATGAACAGATCTGTACTTGGCATATGAGTCAACCTATTGAAACAAATGTAAAGATTATTTTATTTATGAAAACTATTTCGTGAATCTTAATGAGAATTGGATTGAATCTATCAGTATCTTTAAGTCTATGATGTAAATATTTTAAAATATTTATATAATATATATGTAAATATTGACATTTTAATATTAATTTTTCCAAAATAGGAACACTGGCTAGCTTTCCAGTTGTTTGTGGTTTTCTGTTGTTTTTGTTGTTTTAAAATTTCCTTCAATAAAATCTCATAGATTCTTTTTGTATGGCTTTTTTGTTTCTGGGTTAATTGACTGCTAGATATATATTTTTTAAAGATTTATTTATTTATGCATACAGAACTGGGGTGCAGGCCAGAGGTGCAGGGGCCGTAAAAGGATTCACCAGAAACAGAGTGGGGAGCAGAACAGGCAGACTGGTGAGGTACATTGCTGGGGGGAGCAGCAGGCAGGCCAGGAGAGGTCACCTCCAGGGCCGGCAGGGATGGAACTCATGCTGAAGTGGCTTTAGCCTCTTAATCCTGTGCTTTAACCCACTGCACCACCAGAGAGGGCCGACTGCTCGATATTCTATTGTTTTTAAAGGTATTGTGAATGGGGTGGTTTTCTTTTTTTCAGATGTTTCCTCATTAGTATAAAGGGATGTAACAGATTCCTGATATTAAATTTGTATCCTGGCACTTTCCTGAAATTGTTGATTACTTTCAACAATTTTTCTTAATGGCGTTGCTGAAATTGTCTATATAAAATTATGTCATCTACAAATAGTGACAATTTTACTTTTTTCTAATTTGGATGCCTTTGAGTTTGGCTGCTGTAGAATTATCGTTTTTCTTTTTGCAATGTCATCTTACCATGAATTTTCATAGTATTTGATGAAATGTGCCTCTATCTCATTTGAAGTAGTAAACACCTTTCTTATTTAAAAAAGATTGTGTTTCCTTTGATTCTAGTAGTTCTATGGGTGGCAATTAGAGGCCTTGCTTTTGTTTTCCTTAAGATGGCGCTATTGCTCTAGTGCGGGGATTTAGCAGTGCGGACTGCTTACGTTGGGAGCTGCTTACATAGGGCGCTGCTTATGTTGGGCGCGTGCCTTAAAAAGCGGGCATCACAAACAAGCTGGAGGGCCATTGGTTTGAGCGCAGTACCTGTGGCT